TTTCCTTTAAAGGAAATCCGTCAAACAGATTGAAAAAAAATAATTGTTTTGATCTATTGTCTTACTGGCTGAATTTAAATAAACTTCAAATAAATGTTACGAAAATAACTAATTAGTATTTAAGCCGATAAATAAACCAATTCCTCCTCATAAATTTGATTTATTCAAGGGAAAGGATGTAGAACGAGTTGCAAAAAGTTTTTTGGTGTATCATTTCGAGAAAACGTGTTGTGGGACAGTCATGCAGATAAGCTCAGCAGTGACCTTAGCAAAGTAGTAGGCTCTGTATAAAAATTGGTAGTCCATACCACTACCACTAAAAAGCAATGTTCTACGTCCTTTTTTACTCAGAATTTAATTATTTTGCATTATTCTGAAACAACATCTGCAAAAATTACGACAAATAACTAAACTGCAAGAGAGGCAATAATAGGTTTCAAAAACTACCATTGTAGGCCGCAAGATTTACCAACACAAAATATTTAAAACAAAACTTCATTGATGAAAGCTAATAATTATTACTAATCGGATTACAATTGCTCATAAACAGCAGAGACTTGGTATTTGTATTACAACAATTTGATATTCAGGGTATCAGTTACGTCACCAAACAACAATGCCTCCGCTCACGCGAACGACTTACGGTGGTCAGAACCTACAATGTCAAATACCCCGGGTAATAAAAATTGCGTGGAATGACGTATTTTTTTACACACCCCGTTTGATACATTTTGTAAAAAAACTTTCTTCTGTAATGTACGGTATCTCATCAATCACATTTTTATACACCTTTTATACATGACTTTTTCACTGTTTTTATTACTACGGTTTCAATCTTAATTATTTGATGCATTGGGACACCTATTCCTGAAATGTTTGAATGGTATGTTTTCCATTATATGTTTTGTTTATTAAAGTGTTTTCATGTTCTATTTTTGCATAAAGTGTTTCATTGTATTGTTTCATGAAGTGTCTGTAAACGTTCTTGTGCCCTGGAGGTATTGTGAATGATGTGAAACTGTATTTGCTCTGTTTGCATTTATTGAGTGGGAGCGGCGGCACTACAGCAGCAATGTCGCTGAAACATGCGTGGCTTATCTTGCAGATGGTGCCGCTCGTGCTCAGTGCTCCAACATTGACCGACAAAGTCCCGGCCCTGCCCAGATTATCCCCGATAGCATCCTGTGGCGTCATCGGGGCCAACCTATGGAACTGGAAGACTTCGGTGACGTCACCACGCGAAGAAGACATAAAACCTCGTCCGCTTCAGCGGCACCTCAGTGGGAGCGGCGGCACTACAGCAGCAATGTCGCTGAAACATGCGTGGCTTATCTTGCAGGTTGGTTATTATGCTCCTGCATCTTCCTATCGTTCCTGCAATCTTTTTTTGATTGTGCTGCCGCTCCCAGTGAATTGTTTTGACATTTTGTTCAAGTTGTGGTCAGAATTGGTGCTAATGCTTTCCGGGGACATTGAACTCAATCCCGGACCAACTGTTGAGGAAATGCTAGAGACAATCTTAAAGACACAAACTCAAATACAAGCTAGGCTAACTCAGATAGAAGAAAAATTGGAACCTTTGTCTGAATATGCTGCTAAGATAAATAACCTTGACATTGCTGTTGAAAGCCTCCAGCGCACGATTGAACAACAGCAAGAAAGGTTAATCGAATTGGAAGACAGGGCTAGAAGAAATAATCTTCTGGTTTTTGGTGTCACTGAGACTGATAAGGAAACACGACAGGACATTGAAGAGAAAGTATTAAAAACATATTCTCAACGCGCCTTGGTGTTACAGTGTCCTCAGTAGAAAGAATTCACCGCATTGGTCAGAAGAAAAGCAAACAGGACAGACCAGTAATTGTAAGATTTTATGACTACAATGAAAAGATGGCCATATTTAGGAGCTGCAAAAAATTGAGAGGTACTAATATCGCAGTCTCTGACGACTACTCAAAAGAAACATTAGAAAAAAGGAAGTCCCTTTGGCGCTCTGCTCTTGATGATAGGCGCAATGGTGCGAAGGTGAGGCTTGTTCGAGATAAGCTTTACATCGACGACGCTGCTTATACGTGGGATTCCCGTTCCCATACACGCGTGAAAGTTAAGAACGCTCAAAGCGAAGCACGCAGCCCGGTCTGACAAAAGAAGCAGTGCGACATAAAGCTGATAAACGTGAATGCACGAAGCGTTTTGAAAAAAACAGAAGAACTAGAATCGTTGACACTAATTTATGACCCTGATCTCGTGGCTGTAACAGAAACTTGGCTAACAGAGGATGTTGCAGATACGGATGTTTTTCCCATTTCATTTCATGTACTGCGTAATGACAGACTAACCCGAGGCGGAGGCGTTGCTTTACTGATTAAGAAAACTCTTCGGTACGAATTATTGCCGCCCATTAAAGACTGTGAAAATGTGTGGTGCAAATTATTTATGGGAGATATCACGTTACTTATAGGGGTTCTCTATAGGCCCCCCGGAACTTCAGTTGATATTTTTGAGAAATTGGATGACTACTTGCTAACAATGACAAACAAACGAAGCAGAGTAATAATCACAGGCGATTTTAATTTACCAGGTGTTGACTGGAATGCACGAGTTGCTGGGCCGCTTAACAGGCCAATTGCAGAAAATCTGCTTGACATCATGATCAAGTACGATTTGGTTCAGGTAGTTGACAAGCCCACTCGAGTTCAAGGAGAAACCGAGACATTGTTGGACTTACTATTTTTGTCGCAGGAAGTGTTTGATTATGAAATAAGTATCGAGGATGGAATCTCGGATCATAAGGTGGTTGCAGCAACTCTTAAACCAAATAAAAAATTAGAAAAATAACCAGAGTAAAGGTGTACAATTTTCAGGCCGCAGATGATACCTCAATTCTTGATTACTTAGAAATGGCTTTTGACGCTATCCCGCCTACAGATGATGTAAATGACCTCTGGGAATACTTTAAGAAGGTAGTAAACGACTGTTTGTCACGTTTTGTTCCCCAACGAGAAAAGAGAACTGCAAAAGCTAACCCATGGATTACCAGAAGCATCATTCACCTAAAACGACGACTATGTCGCGCCCGTCAGAAAATACCAAGAAACTCGTCTGTTATTGCTCACATTAGTGCTCAGGTACGAAGAGAAGTCAAGCAATCTAAAAGTAATTTTCTAACTAATATATTGTCTGAATACATATCCAACTCTCCCCAGAAATTTTGGCGGTACCTGTCGAGTTCGCAGTCTGAAATAACTGGGCTTTCTATAGACGGGACCTCCTATAGCGAACCGATTCAGATTGCCGAAGCATTCAATCATTACTTCAGTACCGTTTTTTCTCCAAGTATTGATCATTCAAAAAAAGGCTGTACGTTCGATGATACTAGTTCCAATCTTCTTACTGTATCCAAAGAGGGCGTAATGGCTTTACTGCTTGAATTGGATCATAAAAAATCACCTGGTCCGGATATATTCCCAACGAATTTTTGAGGCGCTACTCTGATTGGGTTTCTAGTTTCTTAGTTAAAATTTTTAATTTATCTTTGTGTACTGCCGCTGTTCCGATTGATTGGTTATTAGCAAGAGTTGTGCCCATTTTCAAAGCTGGTGACCGCCTTAATGTTTGTAATTACCGTCCAATTTCTATCACATGCACGGCATGCAAAGTAATAGAACATATAATTTCAAAATATATATTTCAATATATAGAAAACAATAATCTGTTTTATAATAAGCAACACGGTTTTAGAAAAGGCCTTTCAACCGTCACTCAGCTTTTTGAATCTGTTCATGCTTTCGCTACAGCGATAAACTCAAAAGAACAAGTCGATGTCATACAAATTGATTTCTCTAAGGCCTTTGATAGAGTATGTCATCAGAAACTTATTCAAAAAATGTTAATACTTGGTATTGATCCCGCAATTGTAAGATGGGTTGAAGCGTACTTGCGTAATAGGTTGCAGTTTGTTGAAATAAGTGGCGCACGTTCTTCTCTTTTACGCGTATCCTCAGGTGTGCCACAAGGCTCCGTGTTGGGACCTCTACTCTTTTTAATTTATGTGAATGATATTGCAACGGTTGTGCCTCCTTTTGTTGATGTAAGGTTATATGCAGATGATTGTCTCTTGTTTTGTCATGTGAAAAGTGTTTCTGATCAAATGCTCCTCAATGATGCTCTTCGATGTATTGACAACTGGTGTGAAAAATGGGACATGAAAATTAATTTTGATAAAACTGTGTGCATGACAATTTCAAATAAAAAAACCCCCCTTAACTATAAATATACAATAAACAATAGAGAAATTAAGAGTTCTAATGAGCTTAAATACTTAGGTGTTACTATCCAGCAGTTTAAAGTAGGACAAGCATATTGACAATATTACAGGACTGGCGAAGCGAAAGCTGGGTTTTCTGAGAAGGAAACTCCGTAATGCACCGCCCTCTGTTAAATTGTTGGCGTATAAGACTATTGTTAGACCAACGCTGGAGTACGCAGCTATCATCTGGGATCCGCATACTAAAACTGAAATTAACAAACTTGAACGAGTACAAAGATTGGCCGCGAGGTTTATTTATTCAAATTACATGAGAACACAGTCTGTATCACTTTTGCTTGCTAGGGCTGACCTTCAATCGTTAGCTACACGTAGAAAAATAGCTCGCTTAAAATTTATTTATGACCTGTATCATAAAAACTACAAGCTGGATCCCAGTGTATACCTGCGCCCCCCAGGACGAGTATCGGCTCGTACCAATCACTCATTTTCTGTCCAAGCTTATGTACCGCGGGTGGATGTATTTAAGTTTTCGTTTCTGGTGCGATCTATTGTTGACTGGAATGCGCTTCCTCCCGAGGTACTTACAGGATGTAGATCCTCACAGGATTTTCAACGACGGCTGGACTTGTTTTTTCCTAACATTGTTTGTGTATTGTTAACCTGTTCACCTCCCACCCCTGCTACAGCCCGCAAGGGCTAGCAGTATTGTAAATAAATAAATAAATAAAAGTTATGTACATGCTTGTGCTTTATTGTTACAGATACATCAAAACCATATGTATGCATGCCAAACACCCAAAAAAGTAAGAGCCTCTGTGATCCCACATGGCCTTCAGCTGTTGCTCCTCTTTCTGTAAAACGAAAGAAAAAATAAGCGAAAGAAAAAACAAAACAGCAGCTTTTGCAACTCCGCATTGTCTTTACAATTTTAACGTTATTCATTTCGGCGTATGCAATGCGCCCACGGCTTTCGAACGCAATGTTGATACCACGCTGCGTGGTCTGAAATAGAAGATTTGCGTATGTTACCTATATGATATTTTCGTTCTTTTATCGGCGTTCGCTCAACACCTGCAACAATTGCATGGGACTCTGACGTATCTTGCAGGCGCAGGTTTTCAGACTAACAGCAAGAAGTGCCATATTGCCAGCCAATCTCTTAAGCACCTTGGTCATGTCATAAGAAAACAAGGAATTTGCACTAATCCAGACAGAACTACTGCTGTACATCGGTTTTCTCGCCATGTGAAACCTAAACACTTGCGAAGTTTTCTCGGTCTCGCCTCTAACTTTTGGATAATTATACGAAATTTTGCCTCCATAGTGGCAGCACTCCACAAGCTACTTCCTTCCGGTATGCCCTTTGAGTGGTCTTAGAAATGAGAATGAGCTGTTGACATGTTAAAGAGTGCCCTAACGACCAAAGCTATATTTGCCCTTTTTGTTGAGAACCCACCCACACCACACACAGACGCCAGCGGCTTCGGTTCTTCTGCAACATGGCAGCGCCTCACGAGAGCTTGTCGTTGCATGCGCCATCTGCCTACTCTCAGCAGCCGATACGAACTACACGATCACCGAACAAGAGTGCTCGGCCGTCACTTGGTCAGTGCAGAAGTTTCTTTTCTATCATCATGACTCCCACATTGCCGTTGTAACCGATCATCACGCGCTATGCTGCATTCCACACTGAAGAACTTGTCTTGATGCCTCAGCCAATAAATTCTACGCCTTCAAGAGTATAACTTTGGCATTATTTACAAGTGTGGCAAAAAACATCGGCGCACCGACGCTCTTTCACGCTGCTCACTGAGTACTGCCCCATTCCATGTTTCCGCAACCACTGTGCAGGACAAACACTATAGATTCACATCTACATCGGCTAGCTCTCTAGCCGCTATAAACCCGCCTCCTTTAGACAGGAAGCAGGACCTTCCCTATCACCAGCTGACTAACCCATACAGTCGGCGTATCATAGGCTATCTCACTGGAAATCGCGGTCCGCGTAACGCGAGGCTACGCCGCAATATCTCGCTTGTTTAAGCTAGAAAACTCAGTTCTGCACCACTGAATTTACCATCCTGACGGCCAGCGCTGGGTCACCGTTCAACTTAAATCTCTTCGCTGCGACGTACTTGAGGCGTTACAAGATGATCCAACTACTTGTCATCTTGGTTATCATAAAACCTACGACTGCAGTCGAAGTCGTTTCTATTGACCTGAAATTTCTACAAGCGTTGCCAGGTACGTGGGTTCCTGCATTAACTTCCAATATCGAAAACTCCCAACATCTGCTCCCGCCGGTAGACTGCAGCCTCTTTCGTTCCCAGCTACACTTTTGATATTGCAGGTGTAAACCTTTACAGAACACTCCCTGTCAGCGTCGCCGGCAACCGATGGATACTGACAGCCATTGGTCATTTGACGCGATACGCCGAGACGGCATCCGTGACTACTGGCTCTGCTTCTGAAATGTTGACTTCATTCTCCAAGTCAATATGCGCCATGGTGCTCCGCCTGTTTTGGCCAGTGACCGCGAATAAGTATTTCTCCCTCAACAAGTCAACAAACTTTTCCGAGCCTGTGGCAAAACTCATAAGACCACGTCAAATTATCACCCCCAGACAAACGTACTAACCGAGTGCTTCCACCACACTCTTGCCGACATTACCACCGCATATATTCAACCAAGTCACAAAAACTGGGACGCAATTCTACAATCTGTCACCTTCGTTTATAACAGGGCCATTATGTGGACAACGGGCTACTCATTGTTTTATCTGCTTTACGGACGTTCTCCTACTTTCTTTCTCGATGTTTCTTTATTTACCGCCAACGTAAATCCATCTGTATCCGCTTACGCAGAATACATTTCACGCATCGCCTAGTCTCTATCGTGCCCGCATGAATACCGAAGCCAAGCAGCAAGATCAACTGTTTATGATGAATCGAATCATACTGTATCCTACCATCCTAGTAACGAAGTGCTGCTGTTGACACCTGCTCGCACACCTGGCTTGTGACAGAAGTTTAAGCCACGGTTCATGGGCCCATACATCATTCTATAGGAGACTTCTCTGGTGAATTATCGCGTCACGCCCATTGTAATTCCAACCGACCGCCGTTTTCGAAATACCGAAGTTGTCCACGTGTCCCACATGAAGCCCATCCTGTGACGCTCCTCATTCCCATGATCTGCTGCGGCCAGGCTTGCCGCTTTTGCGTGGGCGAAGTAGTGTGGGCATTTACTGTACTCATCGCATTCATCTTTATATTAGAATCATCTTCGGGTGTTAATCATGCAACCTCATCGTTCTCGTGTATGAACATCATCATTCTTGGTTGATTGTAGCTCTCGACTGCTGGGTACTGGGGCCTAATAAAAGGTCATCCAAACTATGACGCCTTAATAAATACAGCATGCACCCCTCAAACTGATCATTGCTCAGAATAAACTTGGTGCAGTAAGAACTTTTCGCGGGCCAGTTGGTGCATATTATTCTTTAGGAAGCGCATGGCGCCATATTGTTTAAAGCTAAAAGGCGGGCTGGTGGGTAAGGAATAATTCAGAACAATGATAGCGCAGGGTAACCAATATGGAAACACGGCCACAGTAGTGATGTGTGTATGTCTCCATGTTTTTTTTCTTTTCTCTTTAACTTTCGGCATGATTGTTCTTCAAGTGCTGCAAAATCACGAACAAAGCAAGCATATAAATTCGTTTCATTGTAACGCCAAAGCATTCAGTGCGAGAGCAAAAAATTAGAATGTCACATGAAGATTGACACGCAGCTTGATGCTTGCAGCTTTCTGCTAAAGCCGAAAAAGTTATGCTTCAAAATTACCTATAAGTATACAAAGGACAAGCGTGAGCTATCACAGGTTTTCTGCTGTTGCCTTTGAGCAACGCACATTAGGGGTAACGACGAAGAACTCGATGCTCTAAAAAAATTCTCCTTTTTTTTAATTGCGGTTCGCAGAATGACATCTCTGTGTGGTCTGCCACGTGGTGATGTCTGACGCCAGGTACGCGCAGTGCTTTTTTTTTCTTTTTCTTCATTTCGCATTACGAGTGCCTACGAGAAGGGGTTGCTTTGCTTGCGCGTCTGAAGGACAGTTTTCAATTTGAAACAAAGTGTAAAAGTGTTATGGTAGATTGATTTGTGGGGTTTAACGTTCCAAAATCACCATATGATTATGAGAGACTCCGTAGTGGAGGACTCTCGAAACTTCGACGACCTACGTTTCTTTAATGTGCACCCAATTCTGAGCACAGGGGCCTAGAGCGTTTTCACCTTCATCAAAAATGCATCCGCTGCAGCAGGGATTCGATCCCGCAACCGGCGGGTCAGCAACCAAGTGCTTTCGTCACTAGACCACTGTTGCGGCGCAAACGTGCTGTGGTGTCAAATAGGCTCGATCAAGCTGCTCTGAGACCTACCTATGGCCAGCCGTAAATTGTATGAATTATCAGCTTGCCGCAATTATAATGCTGCGTGCACGTCGTGTGCCTGAGTGGCTAACGCAGCGCGCTATAGAGCGAAGGTTTCTGGTTTCGTTCTCTGGTAAGGTACTTCGGATCATTTGTTCATTTTTTATATGTGTACCTAAATACACATATCCATAACATGAAACCGACATCCACATGAATATCTGTGCTCTTTCTTAACTTTTCCTTCTTCGTTTTTCATGCTCGCACAGTGTACATCACTGTCAATAAGAATAAACATGCATCATTTGTTGCGGTAGCAATTATATGCACACACTTGGCCGATTGTCGCCGCCTGTGACAGCGTTGCCTTCACTCATTGTATATGTATACGTATCTGAAGATATGAAAACGCAGAAAATAAAAACAATCTAGAAAAAGATTTTGGCACTCGGACACGAACGTCGGACTTCTGAATTGTCAATGCGAGGTGTTTGCCACTGAGCCACAAAAGAGCACGCACCTCATTCAACATTCAAACCGCAAGCTATTTGTGTCTACAACTTACCGCTGGTGACGGGAATCTCGGGGGGATGTATCGTGTTTTCAGGATTACAGGAAGATGGCGTAATGATCACGTGCCGCCACATCCTAACAACGCAGTGGCGCACGCTCTCATCTCCTACGCTTACTTTGCCCCGCGGAAACTTTGCGTGCGTTGCGTGTGCTTATTTATCGGTGGGGACAATCGTACGTCTTGACTGGCCTTGGACTTTCACCAGAACGATTCTTTTGTAGATACCGGGCGCACAAGAGTCACTGAAACTGTTGCACACTCTCTATTTGCGAAAAAGGCGCGCTTTTCAGACGCAGCGTAGCAACATTTAAAACGCTTATTCGCGTTTACCTGTACCTGTGAGTACATTTCGTGCGTCATTTCTGCGTGAGGAACGTGGCGAACGTTTCGATCTCCTTGTTATTCTGCGCACCACCTTCAATTCGTTGCTATCGCGTTCACTGCTTTGACTTTGCGGCTATTTTGTTTTACATGTGAAGCAGCTCTTTGACTAGCCAATGCACCGCTGTCCTTCTATCCACACCACGATTCCCTGGCCTCACGTATTGGGGCCGGGCCAAGCAGGTCATGCCTTCCCCCGCCATGTGCGCGCGTTGAGGTCACTCTCTCTAGCCTGTCGCCACGTGTCATCTATTACGTTTCACCCTCTCCGCCGCTTGCAATGTTCCAAGCACATCCAAAGAACCGTCTTTCTGCGGCGAAACTTACAGAAAATTCAACCACCCCTCTCATGTCTGCGTTTCAAACAACCGTTCACTGGAGAAAACGGTACACTAATTTTCGCTTCAAACCGTTCTGCCAGCACCCGCGTCGACGCCCATTTCACGCCGGTCTACGCCGTGTGC